ACTCCTGGGCTCAAGCGAGTCTCCTGCCTCAGCCTCCCAAGTAGCTGGGACTACAGGCGCCCGCCACAACGCCTGGCCATTTTTTTGGTTGCAGCCATCATTGTTGTTTGGTGACCCGGGCTGGGGATTCGAACCCGCCACCTTAGGTGTATGTGGCTGGCGCCTTAGCCGCTTGAGCCACAGGTGCGGAGCCAAACAATTTACTTCTAACCTCAAAATATTTCTGGTATTAATATAAGGCAGAATATTCCTTTGAACACCTACCTCATGCATCATAGCAATGTTAAAAGTTGACCACAAAGAGATTCTACAGTTAGAATTTCTTTATGTATCTTACATTCCAATGTCTTTCATATTCCATAAGAAAGTATACAGCTTATGCCCCCATTTGGAAGGACTAATGAACTTATGCACTTAAATTTTTAGGTAGATGTGGATATAAATGCAGAGTTTTGTGTATTTTTGCCCTGTGTATATTCCAGTTTTTTGTGCATCTCATGGTAATTCATTCTCCATTGTGATCACCTACATAAGAATGCGGGCATCCCTTCACATCTGAACTCTCACTATCCACATAGTCCCAATAATGACTTTTTCTTTTGCGACCCCAAATTTACTACTTGAATAAAAAACCTATTTCTTATTCAAGGTGCAGGTGTTTTCAGTTTTGTGTGGGAACAGAATATGGGCTATACTGTCATTACATCTCACCTGTTCTAACAGAATCTTATGCGTTACTGAAGTGTGTTAGACATTGTTGATAAGATCTTCCCCTTCCCAGGAGGGCCCCATGTTGACTTCTGCCAGGTGCCTAGAGGCACCCCTGCTTGGGTCTAATTGCAGATGGTATCTTGAGGATCTCTAGAATCTTTTTGTAGTTTACTTACACCCCAGGATCATTTCAGGGTGAAAGAGAAATATAATTATATCTGATGCTGTGCGGAATAGCTGTGTATTACACACAAACATTGTTACTAATTAAGTGTTGAATAATTAGATAACTGGTGTTTTAAGTGTTTTCTATTATGCCATGATCCTCAGTGTGTTGTTATGTAGGTGTTTAAATGTGTTTAATGATATTTTGGGAAATTGGTTGGGGTTTTTGGATAGAGCTGGGAGTGCATTATTTTCCCTACTTAAAGTAGTGGTTTATCAAAAAAAAATTTACCATTTAACACTTTAAAAAATGTATTAGGTGTAGATTCTGAGGGATGCCTGTTTATAGAGATACATGCCCATACACATACTGCATATATGATCTCTGTGTACAATACATACGTTTACATACAAAAATATGTAACTTAACTTTTGCTGAATGGTACTTACTCTTTTCTATTCCGCCTGTGTGTATTTTTTTTTTTTTTTGAGGCAGGGTCTTCATCTGTCACCCAGGGTGGAATGAAGTGGCCAGATCATAGGTCACTGCATCCTTGAACTCTTGGGCTCAAGTGATCCTCCCACTTGAGCCACCTAAGGTGGGACTATTGCCAGGCACTGTACTACCATGCCTGGCTAATTAACAACCTTTAGAGAGATGGGGCCTCACTATGGTTCACAGGCTGGTCTTGAACTGCTGGCATTAATCAATCCTCTGTCTCAGCCTTCCAAAGTGCTAGGATTACAGGTGTGAGCCACCTTGTCCAGCCTGTTCTACTTTAATAGCCATTGTTACCTCTTAACATACTCACACATGTAATACTTTATTATGTTTGTTGTTTACTGTCCTCACTCAGAAGCACAGGGCATGGTCAACTCAGCGTAGCAGGGTTCAGTGAATGCTCACGGGATGAATGAAGAAATCAGACTCCAGCCGCAGCACTGCCTGACTGCAAGAGGCTGGCTCAGTCCTGCTTTTGCTAGCTGCCAGCTATGTGACCTTGGGTGAGCCAGTGCCTCACCTCACCCACTGGTGGCAATGGCTCTGTTAAGACTCACACAAAGCCTGCTGGTGAAGGTTATGTAAGAGCAGAGGAAAATCACCTGGACAGCCACTCCCTGGGGCCCAGCTACCAGCTCCCTCGCTTTGTTTCCATTGCCTTATCACTCCTCTTGCCTCTTCTTCAGAGCCTGGCTTGGGAGGGACCCCTGCATTGGGCTTAGACTTG